AAGAAAGAAAGAGAGAGGGAAGGAGGGAGGGAGGGAGGGNCAGAACTGGATTAACCACACAGATAATAGTCTGAACACATGTCATGGTGTCATTCAATGTTTCGTGAACCAAACCAAAGGCCCTGAAATCTGTATCATTGAGGGGATGTAGAAGTCATTCCCCCAAATGCCATTCCTTAACTCAGGGAGACTCTGGATCATGTGCACCTTGAGGAATGGAAGTCCATGTCATCTATTTTCTATTCATACCAAATGCCAAACATACAAGGGTCTCAACCAGCCTCTCTCTGAAAAGCTCAATTAAACTGTTTCATTTTAGTACCAAGTAGCAGTGATGGGTGTAATGGACCAGCTTACTCTTGGAGAAGAAAACTGAGCACCCGAATAGGTCAAGACAGTTACTTCTTGCACAGGATTTGATCTTGCACTGGAGTTGCTTTAGGCTGTCTAAAGATGTAAGAGTTTGGAATACTTACAACATAGTAGGCACTGAACTAAGAACATGACATGTGTTACTTTACATAATCCACACAACAATCCTTTTCCACAGGTAAGATTACCACCCCCATTTTACGGATGGAATAACTGAAACTTAAAGAGATGATGAGACTTTCAAAAGTCTACACAGCTCCTCAGGGTTGAGCCAGGATTGGAACCCAGCATGACTCCAAGTTCTGAGCTAGTAAGGATGACATTACATTGCTTCCAGAAACAAGCTATGCAGAATTGTCTGGCATGTGGGTCCAGGAGTTCCCCAAAGTCTAACTGAATTGCATTTGCATTATCAAGGCAGTCCAGTAGATACCATTAAACATCTTTTGGATTCATTTTTGAGGAATTAACATGTGGAAAGGTAAAGTGGAAATTCAGAGGANCCCATGTTGTTCAAGAGTCAGCTGTTATCACAGTCCCCTGACCAGCAGTATCAGTATTACCTGAGAACTTGTTAGGAATGCAAATTCTCAGGCCCTACCCCAGACCTATAGAATCAGAAGGGCTGAAGGCGGGACCCAGCTATCTATTTAACAAATGGCTTGAGAACCCCTGCAATAGAATGATAGGATAAACACACCAGAGAACACAGGGAGATTTTCAAGAAAGAGATAGTGATCACCAATTTAAAATAAGAAAGAAAGACAGGAGGCTAAGGACAGCCCAGGAGGCTAACTTCGGGAGACTACTAGAGGCCGACCAGCAGCGATGCAAAAAGAGCACCACCATTCGTTCCCCCAAATAAATGCTCTGAACTACATACAGCTCATGGTCACTGGGCATCAGTAGGTGGCAGAGACAGGGCTAACCCTCTCTCTACAGGCATATTATGCTATTATCACCAGCATCCCCATTTCACAGATGTGAAAACTGAGATTTAAGGGAGATTAATTTAAACTCACACAGCAAGAAAGTAGCAGCTGTGACTCCAAACCTGTGCTTTATTTAACCACTTTGCCTAACGCCTCCAAATCCTAAATAGAGCAGATTTGAGGAGGAAGACGAAGACTCTGCTCAGCTTAACTGGGGGCTTCAGAATTTATAATTACAGTGGACACTGTAATTATAAAATAANGAGAGAGAGAGAGAGAGAGAGAGAGAGAGAGAGAGAGAGAGAGAGAGAGAGAAAGGAAAAGAAAGGCAGAAACAAAGAAAGGAAGGAAGGAAGAAAGACTTTGCTTTTACAAACTCATTTGTGGCTGGCTCAGTGACAAAGCCTTGACTCCTTGCCTAGTCAGCTTTCAGGAATTTTCTGTATTTGTCTGTGTTGTGTTACCCAAGTAGCTTGTTATCTTTGCAGCTTAAGGGCTGACTTGGAAATTCAGACTGTCAACTATTTAAAGAAAATGTAAATCCCCATTCCACTTCTTTAATTAAATTTCAGAGAGCAAGGTTTCCTACTGGTTATGATAATGTTAACTTAAAATACTCTTAAGGAAACAGGGCAGGAAGCAAAATAAGAAGGGGAGGATTGTTGTTTTTAAAAGCGTTCTAGGAAGAGTTGAGCAAAACCATTAAGGCAAAATTGTACTGGGTATGTGGAGAAAAGAGAAGGGAGGCATAAACAGGTCTTAAAAAGTATGAAGAGTAGAGTATGGAAATGAAAATGTGTAATGCAGCTTAAGTAAAGCCTTGAATGCCAGGTTAGGGTGTTGGAGGGTGGGTGTCTGTACAATGAAAACTGTAAGAGATTTCTGGAAATCAACAACAATGATCAAATGTATGTCTTAGGAAGACAACTGAGGGTTATATACAGGTGGCATGCAATGGAATCAAAAGAGACCTGGGAACTCCCTGGCTATGTGACAAAGTCCTGGTAGGCCTAAATGTTCATCTATTAATTTGTTAAATGGTGATGATAACAATTATGGTGGGGATTGAAAGAAATCAGGAACGGACCTATTAAATATCATAGAAAGCTCTCAAACAAATACCACACACACACACACATACTTTTACAAATACCATGATCCCAACTACACAAAGTTGTTCACCAAAGCATTATTCATATTAAAAGAATGAGAAACAATTTATATTTGAAACAACAGGGGAGTGGTAAATCATGTGCATCAATTTGATGGAATATTAAAGTGGTGATTGCAGGGACTGTTCTAAGCACTTTGTGAATATTAATTCATTGAATCCTCACAGCAATCCTATGATGTATATACTATTAATGTAAGTCCCACTTTACAGATGAGGAAACTGAGGCTTGGAGAGTTTAAATAACTTGTTCAAGATTACACAGGTAACAAATGGCAGGCCTGGGATTTGAGTGAAGCTGTCTGGTTCTACTCTCTTTGTTCTAGTCACTATACAACACTGCATTGTGGTATTTTATTTTGCCCGATTTTCTTAAATTAGTTTTATAACAAAACTTTGGAGAAAAAAAATATATATCTTCATCATTCAGGGGAGGAGATCAGATAGGAAGGGAGTGGTAGCAACCAAAATTCTGCTTTATTATAAACCCAATGACTGAAGTTCACATTTCCTTTTATTTTACCCTCATCAGCAATAACTAATACTTGTAAAACAATTTACGAAGTCCTTCCACATCATTCATCTCCTCAAAAACAACCTGTAACGTTGCTACTTTCATTAGTCCCAATTTAAAGATGAGGAAACTGAGGCCCAGAAAGGACAAATGGCTCACTCAGGTCCTGTTCCTAGTTTTTTGATTCCCAATCCTATGCTCCTTCTACTATTCAGCATGGTTTAAACAATTTTAAAACAGTGTCCCCCATTTCTTCAGCCTGGTAATCATCAGAAATTACCAGGAACAAGCAGAAGTTAAGGAAAAGGGGTGGTTTGGGCTTGGCTAGACTAACTCACCAACCTTGAAGTCTTAGGGCTAAAAAATCTGGACTACCAAAGGAAGGTCCCTTCTAAGACTTCTTCTGCCACAGGCAATTGATCTTCCCTGAGGAAAGTTTATAGAATCAACCTTTGTCTTCTGTTCTGTCCCTTAACCTGTTATTATGACTTCTTCAGACTCTTCTTGTTCCAAAATCTCTTCAGAAGTTGCCAAGAGATGGGACGGGATAAGGATACTGATGAGGGCAATAATGATATTATAATAACTAATAATAATAGCCAAGTGTATAGAGAGCTTGCTACATGCCAGATACTGCCCTAGGTGAGGTTTTCATACATTTACTCTCACAATCATCCTGTAGGGTAGGTGCCATTTTCCCGATGAGGAAGCAAGGCTCAGAGGGTGTCTATCTCATGCTTGACTGGGAGAAAGTGAGGGAGGAAGGGTTGGTAGGACATAGACTGCAGAGGGTGAGCTTTGGGCTCTGAAGCCCTCATTTGTAAATCAACTTCAGACGTACCCCCCCCCCTCCCTGATGGCATTCCTTGCATATCTCATCTTCCTGGGAAATATGGCTCCTCTGGGACAGACAACAGGAGAACGCAGCAGTTCTTGATGTTAATGATCTAGAAACTAATTTATCCCCCTTTATCTCCTGACATTTTCTTTTAATTAAAAAATGGTGATTACTGATTTTTATGATTCTTTAAAACATATTTCTGAAACTAAAACACTTTAAAAAATAATATAGCACAAAACGGAGCTCACAGGAGAGTGTTGTGAGTGGATCTCAGCATGTTAAGTGGACTCCCTAGTCATGCTACCAAACGGAACGGCCGACGAGGGGCGCGCCTGGAGGTTCTGAGGCAAAGTGTCCAAGTTTGGAAGGCATTGTTTGGTTAGCAGGCCGTTAAGGAGTACACTATTCAGAGGCTTGGCTGGGACAGAGGACTAGCTGATCTGTAAATAATATCCGGGTAAAGTTTACCAGGAGTAGAACATTAACATGGTAGAGGCGAGCCTTTCTATGGGTCCCTGGCTGGGAGCTGCTCAGAATAGGAAGCCTTGCCTCCTTTAACTGTTTCCACTTCTCCAACTACAACGACTGCATTAAAAGGACAAACGAGAGCAGGTAGAGGGTGAACTCAAATATAAACATTCTCTGATGATGTGGCCAGTTAGGCAGTTAGAACCAGTAAGTGTCACAGTGGCAACAATACAACTGTTAGGTCAAGTGTATGAAGGGTGAGGCCCCTTCAGGGCAGCTGCAAAAGAGAAAGCCCCTATTAATCCCTTAACTAAGCAGCTGATGGGTTTAAATCTTTTTGTATTTATGGCATAACTCTTCAAACACAGGATTATTATAAGTTTTTAAAAAATCAACACAGGCTACCATTAGCTTTTTATAGATTTCTTCATCGTGTTAACAGATGACAGAAAATAGAACTTTGAGAGCTTCTGATTACAATCCCCTGTCACTCTGGATTGAAAACTTGTAAGAAAGCTTCATTCGCGGATTTATTCACAAAAAGAATAGGTCTCTATCTGAAGAGGGAAGTGATCTCAGTCTCTAGCCTTAGGATCTACAATACTTTCTTTTGATTTTTCCACTCATTGTTATTTAAAATAGCATGAAAAGATTCAAGTAGGGTTATTTTGCATAATAATATCAGAAAAGGAATGATTTTACCTGGTATAATCCCCTTTGGCTTCCTGAAATAAAAAAAACAAAGAGAGATGATAGATTTGTATTTATGTTAGTTAAGGTAAATGATTTTACTCTTTATCATTTCCCCCTCTTAACGTTCCTGAATTTTGTTTTGAAGAATGTACAGTGGAAATACTTTCCCTCTAACCCTGGGGAGGAATGTTGCATCGCTAAGAAAATGCTAGTATCCATGAAATTTGTATTCCTCTTAACAGAAGAGACAAATACATATATCTGGAAAAGCACAGGTGATTATTTCTCCTTTTATGCTTCTCAGACCATGTGATAAATGCTTGTCTGGTAGAGCAGCACACTTTTTAGTCTGCATACAGACCTTTTAAACTATGACACAGGTAAGTCACCACATGCTACTTGTTTACTCTTTTTAAGCCAGCATGGAGCACACTTGGTTTTTCAGCTACCAGTGCCTGTAAGAACGAAAGGGCTCTTTAGCTCAACTTCAAGAAAATGTATACAGAAGTTACTAAATTTAAATGAAAATTACAGCTGTTGTAACAACTGCTCTCTTCTAAATTCAAGTACTCAGAGGTCTTTTCCAAGAATATGCTCTTACTCTTCCCTCAGAGCAGTCTAAATTTCATTTTTCTTTGAGACATACACTATCACACTACAGCTCATGCAAATTATGCTAAAACAGAAAACAGTGTTCATACTTTTCATTGGCAAACAACCAACTGGCTAAAAAATCCATCAGCCACTGGCCCGTGCAAAAGTTTCAGAGTTGCAGGCAGTTGACAAAAACGAACAAACAAAAAAGAGCCGGTAAAGGGCAGCTGGTTAGTTCTTACCTGCAAAACAAACGCCGCTAACTTGAAAACGGTTTCGCTGTCTACTTCGATTTGCCCCTGGGGGTGGAAAAGCAAAGCATAAGTGCACACAGGCCGCCCCAGGTTGTAGCAAATGGCTGTGGAGTTGGGGAAGCTGTCACAGCGTGGCACCTCCAGTTTAGGATCAAATGCAGATCATACCATTGCCGAGGAAAGGAAGGGGGGCGTGGAGAGACACATCAGGGTTAAGAGGAAGTCGCAGTGTGTGTGTGTGTGTGTGTGTGTGTGTGTGTGTGAATTAGCTGTGGGGAATTTGTTTAGAGAGCACGATTCTGGAGGGAACATGAATGACTCTGAGGCTGAAAACAGACAACTTCTAAATGAATAATTTTAAACTACAAGTTCATTTTGAACCTCTGCAGACTTCCTTAGGTTTGTTCTCTGTGACATAGTATGGTTATTTTGGTATACACAATGCAAATATTATTAAAAATATAAATTCACTTCTGTGTCAATGATACATTATTGAGTTAATATTTCTACCATTATAGATAAAATGTAAAGGCTTAAAAAGCAGTTACAGCAAATGCTTCAAAGACTAAAATTCTGTTGCTTTATATTGAAATTTGATGAGCTCTAATTTATCATTTTTCCATTGTTTTGTTTTTTCATCCTTCAAGATCCCAAAGGAAAATAGGAATTCTGGGAATTCGTTAACAGAAATACTTTTTCAGTAGCCTGATTGGGATGCACAAGTGTGTGTGTGGAAGGATTGCTTTTATCAACAATACTCACACATGGCTTCATTTATTTTGTAAAATATAGTGATACCATTACTGCATTATGTAATATATCGTAAAACTAAGTGATTTAAAGGGATCTTTATTTTAAAAATAGCTTTGGTGATATTCTAGCTTATAAGCATAAACACACACACACACACACACACAAAATAATAATTCAGGGGTGGGTTATGTGGTCCTGTATAATTAGTACATGAAAGTGTGCACTGTTCAACAATAAGGAACTCATGGGGCTGAAAATTGTCCTGCACTCCCTCTTTCTCCTTCTACCTGTTGGATCCAAGCTGGAGAGTTTTCTGGTTGGACCAAGAGTATCAATGGTGAATCATTAAGTAGTATTAGAATAAATGCACACTAAGTAGGATTACAGAAGCAGTTAGCTCAGTGAAGATTTCTGAAAGGATTATGCGGTTCTCTCAGGTTCCCCAGCAATTTCACTGGGGTTCTCAAAAAGCAAAACAAAACAAACTAAACTAAAGTCGTAAGATAAAATAAACCAAAAACCCAGGCCATTACATCAGCAGTGATAATTATCTATGTTTCTCTTATATTACAAAGTTAAAACAAAATAATTTCATCTACCAATAGTCAAGTGTCCCTCTGAAACCCTAGGCAGCAGATCTGCTTCTAAGGTTTTTGCTTCAAAACCTGACAGGCCCAGAGCCTTGGAATTCAAAGCTCGCCTATCATTTTTAGAAACAAGATTATACAACCAAAGAGAAGCCAGGTTGATGGTAGGAATCAATTGCCCTCTGTCTTTCAGGCAAGTGACAGTGGTTTTCTAACCTAGTGAAAGATGATGAAGCAGGTAACCTGTTAACCCAACAGGTAAGGTGGGGGTTGATCAAGGTTAAATTCCAGAAAGGTTAAAGTCCTTCAACCTTTCAAAGTAAAGGAAACTCATGTAGAGGGACGGGGGAGAGGACTGGGAACTCAAAAACATCTTTGAGTTTGAAATTAGGCCCAAACTCAAAGTTGAAGTCAAATTTGTCTTGTAATCTCAGAGAAGAGAAAAAGTGGATTATTTTAGGTATTAAAATAACTAAAGATGAAGTAATACATTGACAATATTTGCCAGCTCCTGTGACCCCCCATGACCCCTTTGCTTCATCAAAACCTTAGGTCAGTCATCCAAACAGTATTTTAGACACCAACTTTTCAATTTCGTAAATGGAAGTTCAGCCGATAAAAAGACCTCGGATGAATGCTCTGAAGGACGCTGCCAAATAATTCTCTGCCTTGGAAGGGTCATCAAATATTAAAAACACTGAAATGTGGAACCCTGGCTCAGACAGCTCCAGGAGAGCTGGGAGGCAAACGGCAACTCACCTGTGGACTTTTTCACCTACACAAGCATCCCCAGCACAGTTCTAGTGGAGGCCGGCGATGGTGGGGTCGTGGGTGGGGCCTCTCAAAATCCAGTGAGAGAGAAGGATGCCTAACTTGGCAAAGCCCCACATTCTTCCATACACCTCAGCCCTCACCTCACCTTCCAGTTAACCACTGTTCTGGAAATCCAAGGCAAAATATTTTGAGTTCTAATAATGATGTCAAGGTTGCTTGACATGTGTGTGGAATTCACCAAACAATGGATCGACCAGGAATAATACTATTGGCCTGGTTCTCGGCAATTTCCCATGGTGAAATTTAATTAAGATTTATACAGAACTCTAGAATTTCATGCCTGAAGTGTAAAAGTTCTTTAGAAACTGCAGTCTGCCCTAAGACAGAACATTTCTTTTACTTAACAACCATGGCAACAGAGGTAACCTTAGAGGTACTAGGCAGGCTAACCCTTGAGAAACAGATCTCCTCAAAGAGAGAGGTAATAGGATCTTTCAGTGGGTTTACAGGACTGTCAAGGATAAACAAAGAGAAGCAGAGTCAGTCAGATGATGTGGCTGAATGCACGGAGGTAATACGAAACAGTATCGAGTGTGGTGCTGCCCCCTTGGTTAATGTAACTGGATTATGGCTCCAATCACTACGTCACTGGGTTCAGGCGCCACACTGGACATCTTCTTTCTGTCCTTTGCTTGTTGGCTCAGTTGATCAAGACATCATGCTAATGAGGTGACATCTCGGGTTGTGCTTCCCAAGTAGGAGAACAGAATAAAAGAAAGTTTTAGAAGCTGAGAGTGAATTTAGTGAAAATATGACTCCTATTATTTTACAGATGATGGCACTGAGGGTCAGGAACATGAAGTGTCCTACTCCAGATGTGGTCTCTGGACTCCCTGTCCAGTGCTCTTTCTAGTCTGCATTCACTAGTTAACTGGCTGCGACTCCAGTGCAAATATCTCACCAGGAGTCTTCCAAAGGCATTTTATTTTATTATTATTTTTTTTTATTATTAGTTTCAGGTGTACAAACCAACATAGTGATTAGACATTTACATCCCTCACAAAGTGATAACTCCAAGAAGCCTACTACTGATCTGACACTGTACATAGCTGGTATAACATACCATTGACTATATCCCCTATATTGTACTTTATACTCCGTGACTACATGTTTTAAATTATAGCTGACATTCAATATTATTTTATATTAGTTGCAGCTGTCCAGCATAGTGGTTAGACATTTATATAATTTATTTTTCAAAGATTTTATTAGGAATTGGGAAAGGGGAACAGTGTTGGGAAATTGGGGAAGGGGACTGCCAAATTGTTGTCCTTCAATCTTAGTTGTAGAGGGCATAGCTAGCTCAGCTCCAAGTCCAGTCGCCATCTGGCCGTCCATAGTCAGTTCGCAGCTACTCAGCTCAAGGTGCCCTGTTCAGCCTTAGTTGTGTGTGGGCATAGTCCACCATCCCATGCGGGAATTGAACTGGCAATCTTGTTGCTAGGAGCACGTGCTCTCACCAGCTGAGCAGCAGCTCAGCTCGGGTGCAGCTCACTGGCCCATGTGGGAATCGAACTGGCAACCCTGTTGCTCAGAGCTCACACTCTTAAACACTCGGCCAGCCTGACATTTATATAATTTATGAAGTGATCCCCCCAATTAGTCTAGTACCCATCTGACACTATACATAGTTTTTACATTATTGACTATATTTTCCATACTGTATTTCACATCCCTGTGACTATTTTGTAACTACCAATTCGTAGTTCCTAATCCCTTCACCTTTCTCACCCATCCCCTCAACCAACCCCCCTCCCTTTTAGCAACCATCAGTTTATTCTCTGCATCTAAGAGTTTATTTCTGGTTTGTCTGTTCATTTATTCTCTTCCTTAGATTCTACATATAAATGAGATCATATTTGTCTTTGTATTTGTCTTTCTCAGTCAGACTTATTTCACTTAGCACAATACCCTCTAGGTCCATCCATATTGATGCAAATGGTAAGATTTCATTTTTTTTATGACCGAGTAACAACACTCCATTGTACAAATATAGCATAATTTCTTTATCCAGTTGTCGATTGATGGGCATTTCAGTGGTTTCCAAGTCTTGGCTATTGTAAATAGCGCTGCAGTAAACATAGGGGTGCATATATCTTTCCAAATTAGTGTTTTGGATTTCTTTGGAAAAATACCCAGGAGTGGAACTGCTGCATCATAAGGTAGTTTTATTTTTAATTTTTTGAGGAACCTCCATACAGTTTTCCACAGTGGCTGCACCAATTTGCAATCCCACCAACCAACAGTGCATAACAACCAACATTTTTTTTTGTCCACAGCCTTACCAGCACTTGTTGTTTGTTGATTTATTGATGATAGCCATCCTGACAGGTGTGAGGTGATATCTCATTGTGGTTTTGATGTACATTTCCCTGATGATTAGTGACACTGAGCATCTTTTCATAAGTCTGTTGTTCAACTCTGTGTCCTCTTTGGAGAAATGTCTATTTAGGTCCTCTGCCCAGCTTTATTTTATTTTATTTTTTTAAGCTGAGCCATCCTGCTACCCGTTGGCAGCTCAGTGGCAGCTCAGCTTGGGCCGGGCATCGAACTGCTATTGCTCAGAGCTTGCACTCCTGAGCGAGCTCTTAACCAACTGAGACACTTGGCCGGCCCTATTTCTTTTTTTTTTTAATTGGGGAATTGGGGCCGGGGAACTATGTTGGAGAATTGGGAAAGGGGACCAGCCAAGTTGTTGTTCTTCAATCTTCGTTGTGGAGGGCACCAGTCGCCATCTGGCTTCCTGTTGGCAGCTTGTGGCCTCTAAGCTCAAGGTGCTGTGTTCAATCTTAGTTGCGGGTGGATGTAGCCACCATTCCATGCGGGGCTCTAACCAGCAGCCTTGTTGTTAAGAGCGCACGCTCTATCTAC